AGATTTATAGGGGACACATACAGAAGATATCTGAGAACAGTCTACCGAAAATGCTACTGTGAAGAAAAATAGGAAGACGTCAGACCCAAAACAACGTGTAAATTGAATGTAGAGGATGATCTAAAATTATTCAACGTCACAAACTAGAGGATGAAAGTAATAGATAAGAAGGAATAAAGAAGAATGGTCAATAAAGTCATGGGCCTGGAGCCATCCAGTGCTATTTCAAATAAAGTAGAATTTCATCTTTCGCATCATGGAGTTATTAAAGAAAATCTAACGACTCAACTTAGAGTGGTTTTAATGGTTCTTTTCAATCATCTTTAAGTATTTCTATCAATGATTTAGACATGATAATATGACTAGTTATACAAAATGACCTCATTTTCATCCTATTACGCTTTAAATAATATTCATATGTTATTTCTACAGATATAGCAAAAATGTATACACAAATTCTCATAAAACCTTCTCAAAGATGCCTACAGAAAATAAGTTGGAGATCTGCTCCAACTCAACCGTTAAATTGTTACGAATTAAATACGATAAAATATGAATGCGCTTTGGCTAGCTTCTTAGCTACTAGATCCATACATCAGCTTTCATGAAATTTTCCAATCCAATTTCCAAAAGCTTCTTAAGTTATTTCCAATAGCATGTACGTAGATGATATTCTAACGGGTTTCGAATCAGCAGAGGATCTATGGCGGTTATGTTCAAAAATAATACACATTCTAAAATCAGGATGTTTCTCTTTACGTAAATGAATTTTAAACAATCGTAATATTCTTCATAAATTACATGATTCTATATATGCATTTGATATTCTATTTTTATTTGACTCAAATGAAAATATCAAACCCCTAGAGTTACTTAGAAGGTTAATACCTACTCTACCTTTGTCAAAGCCTACAGAACCAATATGTTACTACAGTTGTGGTTAAAATTTTAGAATCAATTCTGTATGTCAGAAGTAAAGGGCACTATGTCCATTTTTGTCAATATTGGGATTATACTACAGGTATTCTTAATTCTCCACACATAGGTATAAAGCACTATGTCCTACTTTATAAAATAACAAAGATAAACACTTTATAAAAAGTATCATGTCACATTTTGTTTAGAGGCAGCGGGCACCATGTGGACATGAAACCCTATACCTCTGTGTACATTGCTAACATTACAGTATCATCTAGACACAGTGCTTTAAACCACATGTTGTGGTTGACTACCACTAGTAATTGATTGATTACATTTTCAAATTTTGTTTAGTTATATGCTGAAAATAAGTAATTATATTATTTGAATACAACGGATTATAGAGTGCAAAAAACAGTCTTGTGTTGCCAAAATATTGAATTTAGCTTTAAGAGAAAAAAATGAAAATAATACAGGTAAAATAATATCATTATATTTTAGAGGTTATGTTTCGAGCTTAACAAAAGAGACAATTTAATTGCCTAAAGATCCTAGTTTGAGTAAACTTAAGATAAAGTTTGTAAATTCAAGAAAAAATATACTAATTTTAAAGTCCTGTCGAATCTTAGTTTTCATTAATAAATATTGTATGCGGTTATGGACTTCATGCAGGAAGAAGTGTTCTGATAAATTATCACAAAATGAGAGAAAAGAAATTTTGGATAGATATTGGAGTGAAGACAACAGCAAATTTAAAAAGTCAGCTTATAGCTCGCTCCAGAAAATGGAATAAAAAATACAGCAAAACAAAGGAAAATAGTATTTTTTACAGTTTTATTGATAATAACAAGAATGTTGGTGTTTGCAAAGTTATATTTTTTAATACTTTAGGGGTTTCAAATAAAAAATTTCAAAAATACAGAATAGTATTTTTTACAGTTTTATTGATAATAACAAGAATGTTGGCGTTTGCAAAGTTATATTTTTGAATACTTTGGGGTTTTCAAATAAAGTGGTCGTAAACGTTTTACAAAAGACAGAACAAGGAGGTCTGAAACAACTAGACCTAAGAGGGAAGCACAGTCCTATCAATAAAACACCTGAAATTATTGAAAATGTTAAGAATCATATTTCATCAGTCTCTACCTATTATTAGCGAGCCATTATACCAGAGAGAAATCTGCCAAAAAATATAAATATCAAGAATATGTACAGCCTTTATACAACCTATTGTGCTGAACGTAATGTTGATTCAAAATTGGTTGCTAAACAGTTGTTGTATTATGATGTGTTTAACTAACACTTTAATATTTCCCTTAAATTACCTGGTACAGACAATTGTCATGTTTTTGATTCATTTAGTGCTAGGCTCACGAATGTACTAAATCTAGACCAAAGTAATAATGTTATACAGTTTAACAGTTATTAAAGAGGCGCATCTTGCAGTTAAAGAAAAGATATGATTTAAAAATCGAGATATTAAACTTTCTATGGATAATCCGAGATATAAAGTTTTGACATGTGATCTCCAGAAGTGCTTAACTTCACCTCTAATTACAAACAGCATCAGTTTTTATAAGAGAAAATTATTGACATTTAATTTTACGATTTATGATTCCTTCGACTCTTCAGTACACTTCGTGATGTGGGATGAAAGCAAAGCAGCTCGTGGCGAAAAAAAAATGGCTTCATGTTTATTAAAATGGGCAAATAGTGTGAAACCTGACTCTATACCTGACCGATACAACAAATAACCAGATGGACGGGCAACTCTTATGGTCAAAATAAAAATACGTTTATTTTAATGGCATATTTCTGGATTTTAAAGACCTTCCCACATATTCAGCAAATAGATCACAAGTTTTTGTTAAAGGGCCATACTTATATGGAAGCAGACACTGTTCATGGTCACATTGAAAGGAAAAGGAAAAGAGTATCAGACATGACAATACTGACTCCTTGGAATTAGCAACAACTTGTATGCCAAACATCTACTAAATAAATTGTACACAATAGGGAATGTGAGGACTTCAAAAAACTCAACTCATTGTCTGTCGGAAAAGAAGCTCCTTTTGTCTTAAGAAAACTTGGCACTGGCATTCACCTGGCATTCGCCTGGAAAATGAAAAGGATAATGACGCAGATGCTGCTGAGACTAAAGAGGAAGATAAAGAAAATAAAATAAGCCACGCTGAAGCAAAGCAGCTTTGCAACTGGCAGATATCTACATCGAAGAGCAAAAAGAAGCAACTACCATCGACCTAATAATTAATAAAAAGTGGCGTGACTTTGCACATAAAAAATCATGAGAAATGAAAATTCAGAAGAAATAACTGATTTTTTTAAGTGTTTACGAAAACAAACCACCAATGTACAGTTATATTTTAAAATTTTATTACTTTTGTAACCTTCTGTCTACTGTAAGTACAAAGATTTAAAAATATACACGTGGATTGTGAAAACACTTTATAAACCTAAAAATATGCAAGAAATAAGATAACTGGTCAAGGAATTATCAAAAAAAAACAATGCACGGCAGGAAGATCATGCATAAACCACATATATACACTGGAACAACTGTTGGAAAAGGAAAAAGCAAAAAATAGAGATTATTTGGCATTTGTGAACCTGAGAAAGGCATATGACTCTGTACCAAGGTCAGAACTATGAAAGGCAATGATTAAAAATACAGACGGAAGCTACAAAAGCTCTGAATAAATAAAATAAAGTGTCCATTGAAGTGACAACAAGAATCATAGGAGACTTCACCACAACAAAAGGGCTCCTTCAGGGTTATTCCACATCTCCAACCCTATTCAAAATATACTTAGAGATAGCCTTGACTACATGTAAAAGAAAATGCGAAGGCATGGAAATACCGGTCCGGAACGAATACCTATATATGTTAAGCTTTACAGACGATCAAGTAGTGATTGCACAAGATCAAGACGACCTCAGCTACATGATGAAAAAACTACAAGAAGAATATACCAAGGCTGGCCTAGATATTTACATCGCGAAAACAGAGTACCTACCTACAAGTGAAAAAGACATAGAGGATCTACAGATTGATGACAACATAACAATCAAAGGAAAGGATAAATTCAAATACTTGGGGTTTGTAATCACGAAAAAGGCATCAACAGAGGAAGAAATTACGCAAAGATTAGGAAAAACAAGAACAGCAATACAACTTAACTCAGTATGGTGTGAAAGACACCTAAATATAAAGACAAAAACACAGATTTATATAATATAAGTGCAAAGTATTATGACATATGAGGCTGAAAATTGGATTATAAACAAGAAAAACAGCAGTAAGATAGTAGCAACAGAAATGGAATACCTGCGAAGATGCTGTAGAGTAAAAAGAAGTAATGATAGGAGAAGTAATGATTTATAAAGCAAAGAACATCAAATGAAACAGACATATTAACATAGATAGAACAAAAAAGACTAAAGTGGTATGGACATTTAAGAAGAACTAACAACAGCAGATGGATAAAGAGAATGGAACAACAAATAGAGATGGAAACGGTTGAGCGAGGGAATGCAGTGAACACTGTAGAATCCCTGAATATATATACAATGCGATATCTATTTAATCTGTCACAAGACCAATTATTAATTCCGGATTAACCCACGACTATATTATTTTTGCCTAAGAGATAAGTGTTTTAACATCAGTCTAATAAAATATACAAGCCCCAAATCAAAGACCAAGAAGAGGATGTCAAAGTTCAACTATGTGATGAGGTAGAGACTATCTACGACAGATATTCCGAAAACAGCATCAAGATCATAGTTGGACATCTTAATGCAAAAAAGGGAAAGAAAATACTATTTAAAATTTAGAACATACTAATTTTTTCTTCGAATCTGGGCAATACAGAATCATTTGTCGGAAATTAGTTGAGCACGACAGCGATTTCGTTTTACATTGGTGTCACTGTATTATTGTTTTAAGTAATGATCTCAACAGTCAATTTGTTAATGGAATTATAACGTCAACAATAGTTACTAACAATTAATTCTACATCGACCAATTACAAAGCTTGTTTGGAAAAATTAGAAAACGATGTTTTTAATATGAGTATCTACATAATTCTATAATTATTACATTTTGATGTAAACTTTGCCAAGCACGAACAGTCAATACATATTTAAACGTTTCTTAGTGAAAGCTTATCAAAGATAAAAAAAATGAGGTGGTGCTTATTCATCTTGTGTATTTCCGTTGGATTTGCATCAAAACTACGTAAGTAATTTTATTTGTTGGCAGAAATATTATTACATCTTATTTTTCTGTAATAAAATCTGCGTGATATTTTTTACATTTTCATTTTATGAAAGTAACTATGTATTTGATATTCTTTTTGAAGTGCCGTTTCTAGTTCGATATTATTTCTTTATTAATGACTTTTCAGTATTACTATCTTACGGTATATTATTCTATCTATCTTATTGTATAGTCCTAAATTTCTTAGTTCTTGATTACTAAGACTCTCTGTAATATCGTATTGTATTCAGTATTGATTTTCCTATGAAATAGAAAGAAGAAAATGGATAAAGGATGAATTAAACATAATAGAAATATTACGAATATTAGTGCAACATTAGGCATGAAAAATAACAGTGGTCAAAAATCAACTTTTTTTGTGACATGGATAGAACATGGTGGCGGCCATTATATACAATATCATCAGAAAGCACAAATTTAAACTTAAATTTTTCCTATCACCCACACTTTATTTGCTACCAGGAATTGTGCAGTGTAGGGGAATATATAAATTTTAGTAGGTATGTGCTTCGTAGTACGCTTCCTTAAAATATTATGGCAGATATTTTACGGCAATACTTATTCGCTGAAGCATCACAGATTAATGTTCAGCAGTAATCTGGCAGCAGACTAAGACTTTATTTACCTTGGTAACGCTTTTACATGTCTACAACGTCTTGGTGGAACCGTTCTTCATATTATTCACTTAATCGCCTAAATTTTCTGAAGACAATTAGATGAGCATCCAGGAGGTAAATTTTTAGGTCATGTTACAGTAAATTTCTCTGTAGGCAGTAAGTACTTCAGTAACAAGATCCTTGTAATTCTCAGTTTTGACATTACAAAGAAAATTGGACATAACTAGTTTAAAAGCTCTCTCTTAAATTAGTAAATTCAGTCTGTGAGATTAGATAGCGTTTTAAGGAACATTCTGGTTCTTGAAATATTATGAAATATTGGATCACTGTCTATTTCCTCTTCGAATTCTTGTTCGTCCAAACTTAAAGTCTTTGCTTTTTTAGATAGAAATATTGCTCCTATATTCGATGGAAGGGATAGCTGATGGTAAATAGGAATACTGCACAGTATTCTTGGACTTCAGAGCTAAGCTCGGAATCTTCGTAAGACAAAAGTAAAAATCTATACCATGGGTTGCTGGTTCTCTCCATATCACTGGTACTGCAAAACACATTCAACGTTTTGTAGATTTTAACAAATCTGTTGATAATGTTACACAAGGCTTACAAAGTATAGGGGGGTCCATGACTTATCTTGATGGCTTATTTTAACACCAAAATAAAGTTTTTAAGCTTTACATATAAGTGGGATGAGAGTAAGTTTTTGCGATTTGAAAGTTAGTTCCTCATACATAAAAAAACTGTTATCCTGATTTACACACTGTCTAGACAGGTTACTTAGTTGGTAATGTACAATCAATCGAAGTATACTTATGAAGAAAACAAATGTAAAATACAAACACTTAACGTGTACATATTGCATATAATAAAAATAAACAGATTGAACTTGTCTTAAACTAAGATATTTTTCCTGCGAAGACAATGTACACATTGGCGGCCCAGACCAATATTGATATCTCACTTATCTACCTATTTTCAAGATATAATTGCTGGTTGCTCAAGATTGGTGGGCGATAAAAACATTAATTACTTTTGATTTTAAAATGCCGAAACATATTGGAACGTGTCACAAAATATGTGTTGACCAGTGTAATCAATTAACTTAACACACCCAATGAAATGAAAAATCTTATCACGGATATACTTTCTAGCGTTATAGGTAAATCTTATTGACGTCATCTTATTACGTCGCTCGTTTTACCATTGTTTTTATCATAAGAGAACAAAAACAAAACAAAAACATCAACAATCTAGACTGTTGATTTTTCAAACCATGTAGTTAGTGTATCTTTATGTCCCATATTTATTACCATACTGCAACGAAAATAGCAAACAGAATTTATGTTTGGTGTACAGTTCTCTAGTTTTTTATGTTTTTTCATGCCTAGATTAAAATTTTTTGAGGGTACCAAAACCCGTCAGATAATTTGTTGACCAATAATGAACAATTTAATTGTTTAAATGATCGTACTTCCTAAACTATTAAAAATATTTAATTATACCAAAATGAATAATGTTCCTTTTGAAAAAATGAACAAAATGGCGTTTAAATAACTTTAATCTGATTGTTAGAACTGGAGTTATAACAAATTTCGTAAAAAACAATTGCAAAATAGGTATTCGATGGGGCTTCATACCAATTCATTTTAAAGGTAATTTCTTTTGCTTTAAAAAACTTTGCAAACTTACTTTACCTTTATTAATAAAAAACTTATCACAATTAAACAATAAAATAATTTGTTTATAAAAGATCTAAAAAAAATTAAGCTATAAACTTTGAAAATCTGGCAAATAGAAATTATAAAACAACCTAAAGCGAAATTTTTTTTTAAATGTTTTCTATGTTAATTTTTTTTAATGAAAAAAGTCACCTGGATATGAGTTAATATCTAGTTTAGTACTAAAAAATCTACCCAACGAAGGCGTAAGTTTAATTACTTACATATTTATTTCAATATTAAAAACAGGATATTTTTCACTCAAATGGAAAGTTGCTCAAATTATTCTTATTCCAAAACCTATTAAGGATCACACGGATGTATCTTCATATCGCCCAATTAGCTTGTTGTCTATTATATCCAAAGTGTTTGAACGGATTTTTCTGAGAAAACTGGAGCTTATTTTATATGACAGTAATGTTTTACCGAATTATCAGTTCGGGTTTAGAAAACAACATGGTACTATCGAGCAAATTCATAGGGTTGTAAAGACTATCAGAAATTCACTCGAACAAAAAAAATTACTGTACTGCTGCATTTCTAGATGTCTCTCAAGCATTCGACAAAGTTTGGCATGTAGGTCTTTTTTCTAAAATTAAATCCATATTTTCTTATCCCATAAGCTCACTTTTAAGATCCTACCTGACATATCGATTCTTTCAAGTCAAAAGAGGTGGGGAAATCACTAACCTGTTTCCAATTTGTTCCGAAGTTCCACAAGAAAGCATACTAGGACCCACCCTCTACTTAATATACACATCAGATCTTCCAACGACGATCAACACAACAATCCCTACATATGCCGATGACACAGTTATCATGGCTTTAAATTCTACAGCAACTGAAGCATCCCAGGTATTACAAAACCACCTACTTAAACTAGAGAGCTGGCTTAAACTGTGGCGAGTCCAAGTTAACAGTTTAAAACAGTTTAAAACAGTTTATAGTTAACAGTTTCTATAAACAACACTCCACTACCAGTTAATACCGTCGATAACTACTTGGGAATTCATTTGGACAGCAAACTTAATTGGGGTATCCACATCTGGAAGAAACACCTTCAACTCGGCTTAATCTGCAGAAAAATGTATTGGTACATGAGTCGAAAATCAAATCTAAGCCTAGAGACCAAACTTCTGATATATAAATGTAGTTTAAAACCGGTACGGCAATAAGCAGCACAAATCTAGGGTACAGCAAATAATACTAACATACAAAAACTTTAACGATTCCCATCGAAAGTACTGTGCTAGATCTGCAATGCCCCTTGGTACATTACAAACCAAAGATTACACCACGATTTACAGTTGTCAACAGTTAGCGAAGCAATATCTGCTGTATACTCTGTATACAAGACCGGACTATCCTGTTATCCAAATCCGCTGGCCACGGATCTGCTCAACATTTCACACGAAAGAAGACTACCAGAACCTTTGAACATCTAGTAAATATGGAGAAACAGAGCATAGTCTCATAGTGCGGTGAAATACCAAGTTTTTATTCTGGTGTTTTCTAAATCTTTTCTTGATTTTTTTCCATTTTTTTTAGTCTCGTAATACTTACATGTGTGTCAGTGATGTTTATCTGTATTAAACTTTGTTAAGTTGAAGTTTAAATTACTCACTTGTATTATCATATATTATATTTATATTATGTCTTACCTGGGTGCTTGCCACTGGGCGGCTTCCCACTGTTATTGTACATAAATAATAATTACATATATATATATATATATAATATATATGTAATGTATATATATATATATATATATATATATATAATATATAATATATAAAAAATATATATTAAATAAAAAAAATGTTAATTATTCCCCAAGACGTGCAACTTTTAATAACGCACTCTGAGGCGCACGGTCGGCTCGCAGCAAATGAAAACCAATATATATATATATATAATATATATATATATATATATATATATATATATATATATATATATAGCGAGTGTTTGCAACTTTAATTTTGTCGCTTCTCGCATCCCAATCGCCATAATTTCTTATCGGCCCTTCTTGGAGACCTCTATTTTCCATTTCTATATGAATATTGGATATCCATTTCTTTCTTGGCCTTCCCCTTTTATTTCTCTGTGTAGGTCTCCAGTTCCAAACCTTTCATGGTATCCTTTCTTCGTTCATCCGTCTCAGGTGTCCATACCATTTTAATTGTATTTCGGATAGCTGAAAACCAATAAATACGTAAAATCAATGTAAATTTAGAGATACATATTTATTACTATATTATTATAAATAAAACGTTTATAGCAGTGGTTAATGGCCGTCTTGGTGTGGAAGATATTGAAAATTGATTTACGCGAGCCCGCAGTCATTGCATACTCTTGATATGCAATGCCGCAGGCATTGCATATCTTTGTCAAAAATTAACATTGAAACATTCACTAAATCTTAAACTTTATTTTGAGTGCTTCTAACTCTTTCATTAACCAGATTTTTAAATATATGGCTTAATGTTTTTTAAATTGTTCAATTGTTATACCTTTTTATTGATAAAGGTAAAGTAAGTTTGCAAAGTTTGTTAAAGCTATAGTAATTACCCCTAAAATAAAGGGGTTTTAAAAGATAATCTTACATATAAATGCTCCATCG